TGTAATTATTACACTTATAAATGTATTTATATTATTTATGTGTAGATATGATAGAATAAACGGTTTAGTGCAGTGGTAACGGTCTGTGTTAAAGAAACTTCAGATCGCGGGTTCAAGTTCTCGTTACAGTTTTTGTTCTTTTTTAATATATGGTAAATGACCGAAATATTTCCGTCTTCTCTCTAATCACGTCTCCACTCTTTTTTTCCCCTTATACATTCTTCTATTTTTCTGGTAGTTTTCACATAAAATATTGTAGGTCTATCATAAAAGACTTGATTTCAGACTTGGAACACAAAAAGAAAAAAATCAGTTTTTCGAGTTCTCCAATTTTTTGACCGGATATGGTAAACTCGTGGCGGCTCCGAGCCGCCGAGCGGTTTTCCGGTGAGTAAACCCTCTCCACAGATGCGTTTTAGAACATTGGTTGTGTGACTTGTGTCACATCAAAAAAATTTTAGTTACTATTTTAATTATTATTTTTTTGGTTATTGGTTGTCCAACTAAGGGTTTTCCGAGCAGATCTGGTTTCCCGGCCGACGGCGGTGGCTTCCATAGCCACGTCGTTGGTCCGGTTTCTGTTTTTTTTTCATATTCTTAGTGTTTTATGTATATATAGCATTTAGATCTTTTCTTTCCGTTTAGCGGATCGGTTTTCGGCGTGACCGGTTAGTTTTCCGGGCGAGGTCCGGATTTTCCCTTCTACAGTACAGTGAGTCTAGAGAAACTTTCTTTATCAATTTTATGCTTTAATCTCTTCTTTCCCTAGGAGTAATGATGCCTTCACTCCTCCATCAATAAGTATGGGCCTTTGTTAAGGTAGTGGAGAGAAGTGTCCAAAGGTAAAAGGTGATCGGAGATGAAGTTTATGGATGATGGAGAAAGCGGATCTGGTATTTTACTGTTTATGTTCTGTTCTAGAGTTTCTACAGAGGTTTGATTTCGAACCTGGAGGATTTGGTGGTATTGTTGCATGATCAACTGTGTCAATTTCGCCGGAAATCGTCACTGATGAAGATCCAGCGGCGGTCACGATGAAACATACGGGGGAGCTTCATCACCACACATGAGCGAGACGTGGAGCGTTAGCCTAATCTTATTTTTGTTCTATGCTTAATGGGTTTGGGTTTATGAATTAATTGTAATGGGTGTGGGTTTTATCTCAAACCTTTTGTAGAATTTGCCCTTTGGGCTTTTATGAAAATGGACGACAAAAAAAAAAACCTCACCGTGTTGAAAAAAACCTTCATTGTAAATAAATTGTTTATGGAACATGAAACTCGCGGGTTTTGAATTGGAGAAAAACAACACACATGACACAAATGGCATACTTGTCAAATTTAGGAACAAAATCTAGGGCTTGGAGAACTTAACTCCATTCGAGAAACAAAATTGAGATCTCTCCGCCTCCCACCAGAAAGCGAAAACCCTAGTTTCAGCGACACCGACAATGGGGGGAAGGACTCATTTCGATGGGCACCATGCGTGCATACAGTGACATGGTGATGATGGTCGCCATGCCCATCGATACTGCAGACATCATTGTCTCAGCTTCCCGTCGATTATCCTTTGGAAACTTCGACGGCGCCGGTAAATCCACTCGCCGATTAGTTAGACACACAGAGGACATGGTCTCCGTCGCATTCTTCCTCCCCAAGCCGTCAGATTGTCTCGTGACCGTACGATCATGCTTTGGAACTCGATCTAATAAGGAGCCGTGATTTGGTTAGCTGTGTCAGATTCAGCTCTAACACAATCCAGCCGACGAATGTGTGAGCCTCGTTGGACAAAACCTTCTTAAATTGTGGAACCTTTCGAATTATAAGCTCAGATCGGCGTCACTGTGGCTATCTCACCCGTTGGTTCTGTTTGTGCGAGTGGAGTCAAAGACAAGGTTTTGCTGTGGGATATGGCTGAGAAGAAGTCGAAGGTAGATCTACACAGTTGAAAGAGTGCGAATTCCTCACTCGGTATTGAAAACTACTTAGTTATTTCTCCTCTCATATTCTACATTCTTTCTGTTTTCATTATATTCTCTTGTTCTCTCATTTACATTCTCTGTTTCAGTATCTCTATTCCGCGTGCGAAGATCAAATCTTTCTTCAGCCTCTCGATGTGAGTGAGTTCTTCAATCTCTGTACTTCTTCTTCGTTTTATACTTTGTTTACGTTTCCAGATTCAGCTTCTTCTTCTTCTCACATTTACATTCTCTGTTTCAGTATCTCTATCCCGCGTGCCAAGATTAAATCTTTCTTCAACCTCTCGATGTGAGTTCTTCAATCTCTGTACTTCTTCTTCGTTTTATACTTTGTTTACGTTTCCAGATTCAGCTTCTTCTTCTTCTCTTTCGACCTCGTTTCTGTTTTGAATAGATGATCGTCTTCTCTTTATTTCTGTTTTCAGTATCTCTATCTCGCGCGTAAGATTTATCGCCAGCATCAGTCTTCAGTCTTCTCAAATCTTTCTTCAATGTCGCGTGGTGAGTTCTTCAATCTCTGTAGTTTTTTTTTTCTCAAATCTTTCTTCAATGTCGTTCGGTGAGTTCTTCAATCTCTGTAGTTTTTCTTCGTTTTATACTGTTCATTTTTCAAGATTCACTTTGTTCTTCAACCCCTTAGTTTCTTCGTCTGTTCTGATTTTTTGCTTCTCAGGGTTTATGTTGTTTGTTATTCTTCAACCCCTTAGTTTTTTCGTCTGTTCGGATTTTTTGCTTCTCTGGGTTTATGGTGTTACCTCTGTTTTGCACATTCTATTTCCATCTTCTTCTTCAAACCGAATGAGTGATCTCTGGGGTTTGTTTCATGGTCCTACTCAAGAAGAATGGGGTTTATTTCATGGTGTTAGTCAAGAAGAATGGGGTTTATTTCATAGTGTTACTCAAGAAGAATCTTATTCTTTCTCTTGGGTTTGTATTGATTGAGTAAGAAAGTTTACTTCCAAACCCGTCAGGTTAAGATCAAGTTCCTGCTTCTATTGTCTTCTTCAAACCTGAGTGATTTCCTCTCTTAATTAAACCCTTTTGGGAAAAAGTTTTTCTTATTCTATATCTGGTTTTATGTCATTGGCTGGTTTGCCTCTATTCGTAGTTTCTGGTACTATATTGCTAATAACATTATCTGGTGAATCTTCTATACAGGAATGTCATCTGATTGCTTGTCTTGTGGAAGCTCAACTGCTTTAAATTTTTGCTGGGTCACAGGCCGGCCAAGTATGTGTTACGGAATCAATACCAACTCTGTAAGACCCATCGGAAGGAACATGCATCTGCACTCACTACTGTGTCATCGCTGTGTTAGCAATCCAGCATTGATATATTCTAACACAGAAGATATCAAGGCATTATGTGCATGTTATTTCTTTTAATAGCCACATGGTGAGCAGAAGTCAGAAACCCATGTTGTCTTTTTCTTTAGTCTTAATTTTCAATCTGACCACTTCTTCTTGTGTGTGCAGGCTTGTTCTCTAGTCACTCAAGCATCCAGAGCTACTGGTACTGGACGTGGCCAGACTCTTCCTCTTCTATCGCCGGTAGCTGGTCCTAGCCATGGAGCTGGAGAACAACAAACTGCTATTGGTGCTAGACGTGGCCAGACTCTCCCTCTTCTATTGCTGGTAAACGCTTAGCATGACTGTTTATTTTATTATGTTTTGATTGACGAATTGTGATATAATGATTTTGACTCCATAACACCATTATGTTTTGATTGATGAATTGTGATATTATTGTTTCTGATATTGTAATAGGCTGGTCCTAGCCATGGAGGTGGAGAACAAGTTTTGGAGGATGTTGATACAAGCCTTGGCCTTGGCCTAAGAAAGCATAGGAATGATGATCAGGTAAGTGGGATTGAAATCTGTTGATTTTATCTCCATTTGTGGATACTGCAGTTAGATATTTTTAACCTCTTTATTCTCTTTCTTTGTAGGATAATGTGGCTAAAAGACAGAAGAGATCATCAGTGACCAAATCAGCATCTTTATGCTCATTCTTTGTAGGATAATGTGTCTAAAAGACAGAGGAGAGATCAGCAGGTTGGAAATGGCTTGTTACCGTTTATATCAACCGATTTGACAAATTGTTGGTGTAAAATTTGACTTCATTCACAAATTCGAATGGAGTCAAAATTGTGGTTTTGAATCATTTGACTAAAACCCGAAAAAGTTAACGTTTCTTAGTTGTTTGGTAGCGTTATATCTACCAATTTATAGAATTGTTGTATACTTTTACTTCGTTCAAGTTTAGAATATCAATTTGTAGTTATTTTGCAATGTTGCATCTAAAAAGCTGGTTAATGGCAGTTAGAATGTATTTTTCCCATTATTTCCTAATCTTTTTATTTTTAGTTTCTAATATCTGCCAATTATTATAAACTATATAATAAACAGATATTTATATGCTATGTATATTGGTAACAAGAGGAGAGAGAGTGGGAACGAGAGTATGAGAGTAGGAAGTATCAAAGCTTTCGCGAATAGGTTTATTTCTCTTAGGTTACTCTTCATTTACATGAGAGTGTGCTTATATATAAGCATATGAAATGAATATTAAAACAAAGACCGACTTACTAAAATGATAAAGATGATCTACAATTTGAGATAAGTTACACTTAGAGATAAACTCTATTATATCATTCTTTATTATAATACCAGTTACCTTTTTTTTGTTTATCTTCGTTTTCAGTTTCTGTTATTAGTTTGAATCAAATCAAATTATGAGTCGAATACGTTTTCAACAAGTACAACACTTGTCCTCGTATGTATTCCTCTCTCCATCACACGATTGATCGAAAACGTGCAAAACAAGAAAGAACACGTGAGAAAAAGAAATGGCGCTCACGTTACTACTCAATAATCATCAACTATTTGATATATTCATGTTCACGTAATAATTAATCGATGTGGGATTATTAGCTACAATAACAATTTAAGTAAACCAAACGGCATCGAAAGACTTGATTTATTTTATCCACATAACTTATTAACACAATTTCCTTTTCACAAAGAAAACAAAATTCCCGCCAAAACGTAACTTTACTTTTATTTTTTGTTTGGTCGCAAAACGTAACTTTACTTATAAATTATAACTTTGTGGGGAAAACACTCTTATTAGTCAATAACT